TCAGTTATTACAGAGAAGGAACAAGAAGAAGCTATATGTATGTACAGAACAAGAGGTCGAAGTCAATGGACTTTTGACCGGTAACTCCCTATAACTGCTTTTAACTACCAAAGCGCTAGGATGATGACACGTGGCACTGATCTTGTTCTCCTGAAATCCCCCGCAAGTTGGATTGTATAGATCCAACAAGCCAAGATGGCAGTCCAGCTCTATATGTTTGGTTCTTTCATGAAATACAGGGTTCTCCGCAATTGCAATAGCAGATTTGCTATCACAATATATAGCCACTGCCTTTGAATGTTGTATTTGGAGTTCTGTTAATAAGAATGATAGCCATTGTATTTCACATGATGTGGCTGCTAGTGCTCTATATTCTGCCTCTGATGATGACTTAGAGATTGTGGGCTGCTTTTTTGATTTCCAAGATATTAGGGCATCCCCTAGGAAGACACAGAAGCCAGTGACAGACTTTCTTTTATCAACACATGCTCCCCAATCAGAATCAGAGAAGGCTTTCAACTGCAAATTAGAGGATGATGGAAAGAAAAGCCCTTGGCCAGGTGCTGCTTTAATGTACCTTAGTACTCTGTGTGCAGCTTGTAGATGTAGGTCTGTAGGCTTGTCAAGAAACTGTGACAATTGTTGTGTTGCAAAGCTGATATCAGGCCTAGTAATTGTTAGGTAGAGTAGCTTTCTAACAATTTTCCTGTACTGATTGTTCTCTTCAAGAGGTATTCCCATGTTTTTGCTTAGCTTGTGTGAGGGCACTGTAGGACTGTAAACAGGTTTAGAGGCTGTGAAACCTGTATCTTCAAGTAATTCTATAGCATATTTTCTCTGACATACTGCTATGCCTTTGTTGTGCCTGGCAACTTCTAATCCAAGAAAATATTTCAAAGAACCTAAGTCCTTTATTTGAAAGTTTGTCCTGAGCTGATCTTTGACTTCCTGTATGGCATTCAAATTTCTACTTGCAATCACAATATCATCAACATACACTAGCAATGCTACAAAGTGATCTTCCTTTCCCTTAGTAAACAAGGAATTATCAGGGACTGCCTGCTTAAATCCCATATTCTGTAATGCCATGGTTAATTTTGTATTCCACTGTCTGCTAGCTTGTTTCAATCCATACAAGGACTTGACCAATTTGCACCACTATCAACAATCCAATCTGAAATACCAGTCTTAACAGAATTAACTGAGGGGATAATACCTTCATTCTGGAATTCAGCTGCCACAGTACTGACAAATGCTGGTGAGGTTTGTTGATGATGGTGATCAAGGGGTGAATTCAGATTCTCCCCAGCCGGTTTATTAGCATGCATGAACTCCAAGAATCTCTTAACATCATCTTGAGTAAAGGGCATTCCACCATCAGAGTTGCAAGACTGCTGAGTTGATGATGGACCTTGGGTCTGATTGATTGAGCCTTGACTTCTTGGTCTAGGCTTCCACCCTGGGGGATACCCATGTTTCTTGTAGCATTTATCTTGTGTGTGTCCTGTATATCCACAGTAGGTGCATACTGGCCTTTTATTACTGGCTGAGGTCTTCTTAAACCCCTGCTGATAATTTCCATCTGTTTTGGCCAAGAAGGTACTGCCTGTGATGTTACTTTCTCCTGCCTGATACAATTGGCTCCCAAAACCATTGTTGGCCATGTGAAACTGTCTCTCTTGCTGTGCAATCATCGAATAGGCCTCATTCACATCTGGTAAGGGCCTCATCAACATAATCTGATTCCTGGCTCCTGTGTACTTCTCATGTAGGCCAATCAGAAAAATAGACAGTTTATCCTTCTCCATCTGTTCATTTAGCTCATCAATCTTCTTGCCACATTCACATTTGATATTACACGCACAGCTTATCAGTGGCCTAAGGATGCTCAGTTCATCCCACAAAAGTTTTTGCCTAGTGAAGTACTCATTTAGACAATTGTCCCCTTGTTTAGTTTGATAAATTTCACACTTAATTTCTGCAATTCGAAATAAGTCTTGTTGGCTAAATCTTCTTCTAAGATCATTCCAGATTCCATAAGCGGTATCGATCCATAAAACGCTACGAGCAATAGTAGGAGAGAGTGTGCGAACAATCCAAGTGGCAACAATGTTGTTGCATCTCTCCCAGGCAAGGTATCTATCCAAATTCTCTGCGGAAGGTTTTGTGATGCTCCCATTGATAAAGGGAACCTTATTCTTGCAAGACAGGGCCATTGTCATTGCCCTAGCCCAGGAGTGGTAGTTCGGGCCATCAAGAGGTATTGATACCAGTTCTAAAGCTGGATTTTCGTTTATATGAAGGTAGTAAGGGTTGGACTGAGATTGGGGATCGAAAGTTACCTCGCCATTGTTCAAATTGCCCGTCGTAGCAGAAGCATTTGACGCTGGATTTGGCGTCGTGTTCGCTGTGTTTGGATGGACAGTCGGATTGTCGATTGGTGTTGTCCGATTGCCGATTGAAGGCCAAGCTTCCATTGTAGCTGATGGTGAAGCTCCTAGTTTCTTCGCTCTGATACCATGTTGCGGAGCTCAAAGAGGGTGAGAAGAAATGAAGAAAATCTTTTGAGATAGTAGTTTCATTATTTCAGTTATTACAGAGAAGGAACAAGAAGAAGCTATATGTATGTACAGAACAAGAGGTCGAAGTCAATGGACTTTTGACCGGTAACTCCCTATAACTGCTTTTAACTACCAAAGTGCTAGGATGATGACACGTGGCACTGATCTTGTTCTCCTGAAATGTAAGTTAGGCAACATGTAAAATAAAACCCTCAAAATGATGAAGAGAGAAATTAATATTTTTTCTCTTCTATTACGAATAAATGTACTCTTCAATAGTTCTATTCTTATAATTTATTAAAATAACTGAAATGTGTTTTCCGTATTAACTAAAAGTTGCGAGCTAAACAAAACAAACACGATCATATTAAATTAAAGTTAAGAGTATTTCATGACTTATGTCAACACAAAATTTAAATCCATATATAATGATATTAAATTTATTATTAACAAAAGTGTATATATATATATATATATATATATATATATATATATATATATATCATCATGATGATTGATGACATCCCATGATTAAATCTTACTCCAGATTCACACTTGTATTGTAACGTTTAGGCGGACTCAAATATAATGTGCAGAAGACCCCTCACCCAATCACTCTTGTCTCTTGACTTAGCCACACAAATATATATTTCCCTTTGCTTTACCCTATTTTACCTAACAATGAATAATCCAACTTTTTGAAGACACATGCTCCCACCTATCCACCTACCATACCCGCTAACCTCATCCTCATCATCCATCGCAATCCATATTCACTACCCCAATGTCTCAATCACCACGTACTTTACAAGCAATATAATATGCAAATTGCCCGCATGGGTAGCTCAACTGGTCATAGAGGTAAAATTTTGGAAGAATGACCAGGGATTGAGTCTCACCAGCGGCAGTGTGGGAGCAACCTTTCAAAGTGAGGGGGGCTCCTTATGCGCAGTGAGCACCGGTCTAGCCTTTGTGGTTCATGTTTAGTTGAGTCACCATGATTTACATCCTTCCAAATGCTCTGTCGGGTCGGGGTGTGGGGGGCGCTTAGGATTGGGGTTCAGCCTTGTGGAAGAATATAATATGCAAATTTCAAAATGTTTATATTTTTATACTCTTTAGAACATATACCACCTTGTAATAAAGTCAATAGTACTCAAAAAAAAAAAAAAAAAAATTAGGGTTGGAGTTCAGCCTTTTGAAAGAATAGTACTCAAAATAATATTTCTATACTCATTTGTTTCAACAAAACAAATTAAAAACATTTTATTTTATAAAATACGGAGTAATACTTTTAGCATTTGAGTTATATTCGTAGTCTAAATTGACATTATTTCAAGAAACCAATAAAATAGTAACATATTTTGTCACAAATTAAATAGTTATAGCATAAATATTTACGAATTTTAGTGGTTTACCAATATAAATCCATTGGTAAATTAAATATATATCTACAAATTTTTCTGTTAATAAATTTGATTTTTTTTTTTATAGTTAGTCCTTAGTAATTTAAAGTCTAGATCTTGTCCTTTCTCAAACGGATTGTGATTGCTCCTTATGGAAATTTTGGAAATCTTTATTTTTAAAAGGTTAGTTTGGTCATTTAACCATAAACCTTTTGTTATAGGGTCACACTCTTGTGAGAGCATATCAATGATTCAATGAATGGTTCGTTGATGAGAATTATATATATATATATATATATATATATATATATATATATAAACACATGTACATTTTATAAGTATTCCAAACTTTAAAGTTTGTAATATTTATAAAACTAATTAACACCCTCATTTTTATTCTTATTTTCAAGAACCCTCTTAAAGTTCTACTTGATTTTAACTAGCAATTAACTTACCTTTAATTAAGTTTGTTTTTCGAATAAGAAAGAACAAATTAAAAGAGCAAGATAAGAAAGCAAACCAGGAACAAGCAATTGTTTACGCAACGCAATTCAGAGCTAAACTCCTACGTCTGCGGGACAACTCACGTCAGCCCAATTCACTAGATGTTCACCAAGATTACAAGGGATTGAATACAAAAGGCCCCAGCAACATAAACCAACTTAATCCTGAGACTGCAACGCTGAAAGAGATCCAGATAGGGGTACGGTCCAAAACATAACAAGATTATAACCTAAGTTTTGTCGAAATAAATTAGCCAATTAAATTAAGGTAAAATCTGTATTATCTTTATCCTTACAATGTGACTCGTCACTAATTTTAATTTACTTTTTTACATTATTATAATTAGGAATAAGGGTCAAATTAGCCATCGAACGTAACGTGAAAATGCAATTGGGTCACTCAACTAAAAAAAATGTGCAATTAAACCATTCAACATTGTAAATGCTACGGAGTATTATTAGTGGTAATCAATCTCCACATGTTTAGTGTGAGCATGGAAGATCAGATTTGCACACATGTATATAGCACTGAGATTATCACACCACAACTTGGAAACACAAATATTAGGGACATTAATCTCACGCAGTAGTGATAGAATCCAGATTATTTCTGCCGCCATTGCCACACCGACCGTTCTGCCGTCCGCCACCCGGCCCTGCGAACTGTCACCATCAGCTCGCTACTGGCCACCACTGGACTAGTTTTGGTTCCCACGACCAGAACGTCGATTACCACTACCGCGTTGTACCGAGTACGCTGCCGGCTGTCCACCGCCATCCGCCACTCCGTAGTCTCCGACGATGAATTCATGTGCACTGAGGAAGTCCGCAAGCTCTTGTAACGTCACAGGCTGCCCACGAACGGAAAGAGAGGTCGTCAACGGGCTATACTCAGGTCAAAGCCCTCAAAAAACATAGAGATTCTGTTCATCGAGTGAGACTGGCCGTCCGGCGAGCGCAAGGTCTTCAACAACCACTTGTGCTCGGTTGATGTAGTCAGCAACCGACGAGTCACCTTGTCGAAGGTTTTGTGACCAAGGAGATGCTGTGTGCAAGCCCTAGACGACGATGCCAATGCTGCTCCACGGCATCCCAAGCCGCTTTGGACGTTCGACGGCCGATTGCAAGGGGCATTACTTCTTCTATAGGGAGGAGACCCGCATATATAGCAAAGCTTGATCACTCCTAACCCACGCAACACATGCGCGATTGAGCTGCGGTGTGGCGTTTGGATCCTCGACCGAAAGGAAAGCTGGTGGACAAGAGTTTGATCCATCAACAAACCCCATAAGATCATGGCCACGGAGGAACAGAACAACTTGAGTCCTCCAAGACAAAAAAAAAGTTCTTGTATGTCAGTTTGATACTGATAAAGTGGTGCGCGGTGGATAGAGAATTTGCGGCGATAGAAACAGGAGAAACAACAGCAGGATGCATCTGAGACGGTTTGTTCAGAGGAGTTAATAGATCCGTCAGCCATGGGAACGATAATCCCTAACTAGCTAATACCAAATGAGAACTGTATGATTGTATTGAATGAGGTAATTACAAAGATACAAATTACAGGTATATATACAATAGAGACTCATAAGGATATTAGGATAATGAATCATAATCTAACTCAAATACATAGAGTCCTAATAGTTTGAACCCAATATTAACATTATAATTTAAATGTATTAAATAAAAATATTTATCAATAAAAACAATTTTAAAATGTTATTTTTAAAATCATCATAGTTATACTTGTAAAAGTCTTATATTTTAAAAAAAGAGATACTATTTGATAAATATGAAATTAATTATTACCATATTATTTATGTTTATAATGAAAAAAAAAAGTAATTTAAATATGTTAGTCAGTAATTTTGAAATAAAATAAAAAAAAATTTCACTTTTACTTCTATGACTATTGGGGTATTGTTAATTGGGGTCTACAAATTTGAAAATTGTCAATTTGCCTCAACAACTATTCAAATTTTTTCAATTTTAGTCAATCCAGTTAAATTACCGGCGAGAAGTAGCCAAAAAAATTTAATGGGTAAAATGATGAGGACAATTTAGTCTTTTACTTCTTCTCTTTTCTTGCTCTCCGACCTCTCCAATATCTCATCCGCCGTCACTTCCGCGGCCTCCGACGAAGACCGTCGCTACTCCGAAACCTCACCACCGCAACTACACATAATGTTTAACCCTTTTTCTCCACCCATTGATTCCTTTTCCCCGAAAATGGAAGTGTTGTGACTTGTGAGGGGTTTTACAGAGGTTGCAGGCGAAGAAGAGAAGAAACGGAGAAGAAGAAAAGAGGAGTACTAAATAACTAAATTGCCCTTAAAATTTTATCCATTAAATTTTTTTTGCTACTTTTCGTTGGGAAGTTGGCCGGGTAGACTGAAATTGGCAAATTATGCTGTGAAATTGGCAAATTATGTTGAAATTGGCAAAACTGTTCATAATTACGAATATATAGTTCTAAAATTATGAATATATAATTCTATAATTATGAACATAGAGTGTGTGAACATAATTATGAACATATAGTTCTGTAATTATGAATATAGATATTCAATAATTGTGAATATGAAATTCAAAAATTATGAATATATAGCTTTATAATTATGAACATATAGTTCTGTAATTATGAACATAGAGTTCTGTAATTGTGAATATAGAGTTCAATAATTATGAATATGAAGTTAAAAAATTATGAATATATAGTTTTATAATTATGAACATATAATTCAGTAATTATGAATATAGAATTGTGTCCATCTTGCAAGGTGGACACGGTTTCATAGCATAACGATTAATGATTACTGAAATTGAAAAAAATTGAATAATTACAATACTAAATTGATAATTTTAAAATTTGTAGGCTAAAATTAATAACACCCCAGTAATTCAAAGTCCAACAGCCTAATTTAGCAAAACCTTTCCGGTCAAAAATCAATGTCAAACTTGACTTCTTTGTCGGCTATTCCTCCGAATGAAAATGATGTTTGCTAAT